CCCTGCCATGCTGAAGCAGGAATAACTGAACAAAGAGGGAAACTCTGCCTAAAATATCCATCCACACCTGAAAATTGACATCAATCATACCAAAATAAAATATAACTATTGGAATATCTAGTATCTGCTGAGTTATAAATCTTTTCAACTGGTGCTTGTCACGGACTAGCAGGTACTGATGATAATGCTGTCTAGCTGTTGCCAACACACACACACATGCACACATGCGCACACACGCATGCATGCATGCATACACGTACACCTCCTTGTCTTGCCCCAGGCTTCTCCAAGTGCAGTACCTCTCTCTCCAGTCTTCACATGGCTAGGCTGCTGTTCCAATCTCATTACAAGTAAGGGGCTTCTGGCAGATTTCTGGTCTGCCCAACTAGGCCAGGGAACTCTAACAGAACAGATCAGTCCTTTTCGGAGAAGTTGGGGGAAAAAGTAGCAGGTGGGAAGGATTTGGGTGTCTTCCAGTAACTGTGACATCATATATCATGTGACTGGCAGGATCTCCATACCTTATTAATTATAAGAATTCATATTCCAATACCAAAGCTAAGTTGCTGCACTCCAAAACCTATTACCTTCCTCAAGCAGTTGACTTTCAAGGCTCTTGCCTTTGCTGTGAGTTTAGACCTTCATTCATCAATCCGAGTTATGTCACCTTGCCAAGCTGTTCCCGGCCTTTCTCTGAGAACAATGTATAAAGAAATCATATGGTGGAGAAAAGGTAATGAATTCAAAGTTGACCATCAGAAGTGTAGGAGAATAAGGTCAAAAAGCCTCATACATTTTCAACAATATTTTTGATCTGTTTTCTGAATGCTGTTCTCTCCTATTTTCAGGTGAGAAAATAGTAATTGTAGCAGCTCAGTACGTGTAGGTCTCACCAGGCACCAGCCCCTTAGACGACATTTTTTCCCTTAAGTTTCCACAACACAGAGTGTTGGCTCTCACTTATCGCCTTTCCAGATAAGAAAAGGGAGTCTGAGAGACATTCGTTTTCCTAACAGAGTTCACGAAGTTGGTAGGTGGTGGGATCAACAGTGTTAGTCCCCGGGCGCACAGAGATTAATGATACAGAGATGAATACTATAGAGATGAATGTACTGACTGGGGCAGGCATCAAGCATTTAAATAGATCCTGATACCACGTTTGGCTGAGAGTCACTGAAGGTAATATACAAAGGAGGGTCCTTTGGCTAAAGACTTCTGTGGAAACTTACAACTGAATTCATTTATGAAAGATAAGCCTGAAGGTCAGACAAGTAAAAAGTTGAGGCGGGGGCAAAAAGCAGGGGTATATTTCAGTCCTGAGAAATAGCATGAACAAATCAAAAACCAAGCAAAAATAGAAAGGTTTTCACTCTGTTTTAAGCTATTTCTCTAGTCACCTACCAGTGACTCAAAAACTATGTAATAATGGTTAGTTTCCTCATAGACCTTTAAGTGAAAAGGATTTGGTAAAAATAGCTCAACTAGTCTCTGCCTGGAATACTCCGGGATAGCATTCAAGCAGGGGGCTAGAAGGGACGCAAAGCTCCTTTAGGTATGCATTGATGTCTGTCAGTAGGCAGAGCCCTCAGGTGGCCAGTAGGCTGACGGATCCACCTCTGGCCTGCCCATGGGACCTAAGCTTCTTCACAACATGGTGACTTGATTCCAACAGAGAACATCCTGAAAGAAAGTCAGCCACAGAGAAGTCACAGTACATTTTTGAGCTATCTTTGCAGGTCATACAGGGTCAGCTGTACCACATTTTATTTGCTGAGCTAGCCTCAAAATGCCACCCAACCTTAAAGTTCGACTTTAAAAGCTCAACTCAAGTGGCATGACAATGTTGTGAGATGGGACATAAAACTAGAGATATGGCTTGGATCATTTTTTAAACATACAATATCTCATAACTCTAAATTCAATAGAGCATTATAAGGTATAAATTAGGCCACTGACCATAGCAATTCTTTTTCTCTTGATCTAAACAAAATCTTAGCTGTTGAAGATCATTGGTTAATTCACTGTTTACTAGGAGGGAGTTACCAGAATAAAGCCAAGAGAACAATTCATGTCGTGCACAAGACATCAAGATGAGTTGCCCTTACAGTCCTCTGGGCACACACAAATCCCTTCACCACTGCAGAGAATGCTTGTTATCTTGGCCACACTACAAACAACAAATTTATATACTGTCTACAAAAAAAAAGACTGTGCTAGAAATTTTGTACAATGGCATGAATTTGATTCTTGCAACTGAAAGTGCATTTCAAACCATTCATCCCAGGCTGCCACAAGGACCTCTTTTTCTAAAGGTAATGTTGATAAATCTTGACCGAGAATTCCTAATCATTTTGCAGAGCCATGTTGAAGAGGTCCTTATTATCTGCAAAAATGTCCTCCGAGTGGCTTGAACTCTGTCAGAAAAACTCTGTCTCATTTCCTGGGTACAGCAACCACAGCTCCATAATGCTTAATTGTAATAGATTCTAAGATGCCCTAGTTTCTATGTCTACCAGGACGGGAGTGTCTGTAGTTCAGAACTGCATGGCATGCCAAGGAACCATACAGGTGCCCCTCTCGGGCAACCCAGAGTATCTCTAAGAGGCCCAGAACTTTCTCCACTGCTGTGATTTACCTTGAAGTCTCTGCTTCTTAACCACCTCCTGCCCCTCCACAGGGATCACCAGAGACACTGAGTAGAGAATCAGTGACTCTCTTCTGTCTCCCATGGGGATGAGAATAGACATGAACATGCAGTCCAGTACCAGGAAATTAGCACTTGGGAAGGAGTGACAGAGGTTAACCAGTCACATACATGGAAAATATAAATGAAAGAGGCTTGGTTCTATAAAGGGAAAACACCTGGTTCTATGATGCGGCTGTGGTTTGGATGCCCCATGAAAGATTCCTGTGGTGACAGCTTAGCACATAGGTAGCGGTACCAGGAGATGATGCAGAAACTTTTAAAAGAGGGGCCCAATGGAGGTCCCTTCTGTCAACTGAGGGTGCTGGTGTGACCCCGCAGTAGCTCTTACCAGAGGACTGTTATGAAAGCCTGAGTTTGGTCCCACCTGGTCTCTTTCTGGCTTCTTGTTTGAGATACTACAGCTGCTCCTGCGTGAGCTCCCCTATCACCCCTCTGCATGATGCGGGGTACCTAGAGGGCCCTCACAAGAGGCCTCGGACAATGTTACCACCGTATCTTTAAATTCCTAAAACCATGAGCTACACACGCCTCTTTGCTTCATAAGTGGCCTGCATGTTTTGTTAAAGTGGCAAAAGCTGGCCAGGGCAGAAAAATATTACAAAGAGACTGGCATAGACACAAAGAGGTGCTGCTGAGGTGGAGACAGCTGAGCTAAAGCCAAAGGACGAGTTAAGCTGCAGTGTGGGGAGGCAGACATGGAGAATGGCACCCTGGACAGATGGGGTGACACAGGAACCTTAAGGACCTGAAGAGAAGATAGAAAGAAGGCGTGACAGACTGCTCAGGAGTCTTGCACTGGATGGTCTGGAGGGCCCTGGTCTGGGGACAGGAAAGAGCCATTAGCCGGGCGTGGTGGTGCACACCTGCCATCCCAGCACTGGAGAGGCTGAGGCAGGAGGATCATTGTGAGTGTCAGACCAGCCTGGGCTACAAAGGGAGCTCAACAGCAGCCTGAGCTGCACAGCAAGAACCTGTCTCAAAAAGACAAAAAAAAGAAAAAGAGAAAGAACCTTAACAAGCTGTATGCTGAAGTTCATTCCGTCATGAACATGCAGCTCACAGCAGTAGCAGATTGTTCTGGGTCCTGCCGCAGCGTGTTTCTTGGACACTGCCGCTACGGTCCTCTGCCCATAGTGATGTGCGTGCTTTCAACCATGATTCCCTTTCCTAGATCCTTCCATTCCACTTTCCCTAAATGTAATTTCAATCATATCACTCTCCTCAGCAACTGCAAGAGGCAAATTGACAGCCAAGTAGAGGGGCTGCTCAAGCCCTTACGCTCCCGTCCAATCTGCCTTCGCTGCAACTAGCCCTCACTCTCCCTCAAATAAAGCTCCCACTTTGCTCACACTCCGCGTGTGTTTCTACCTCCTTCTGAGCACTCCCGTCCTGTTTCCCTGGGGTGGTCTCTTCCCACCCGCCTCTCACACCTCCAACCCCAAGTCTGTGGAGGTGTCCGTGGCCACCTCAACTTACTGGTTGTTCTCTGAGACTCTGAGGCTTGGTGGCCTCTGCCTTCATATTTGCCGTTAGTCAGGCATGACCGCACTCTCTTGCGACAGTCTACACCTGTTTACAGCGTGTACCTCTCCTGCTTCAGGGAAAACCCATTTTAGTGGACCGTGGCCATGTGTTCTGCTCTCTTGTACCATCCATAGGTCTTAGCAGAAGGTGAAACTTCAGACATTGAAACATTTGAGTACCCGAGTTGGGGAGATGGCTCAGTAGAATAAAGGTCTTGAGTTCAACCCCACGTGCTGCCAAAAAAAGAAAAAAGAAAAAAGAGAAGAGAAGAGAAGAGAAAGCAAAGCAAAGCAAAGCAAAGCAAAGCAAAGCAAAGCAAAGCAAAGCAAAGCAAAATTTTTTCAGTCGACCTGCAAATGTGCTGCACCGTTTCATAAGCAACAGTGCCATCTAGTGGCGGCAAGGTTACCTGGCTCCCACCAGCTCTAATAGAAGGGAAAGGCCCTCAGAGAGGCCATTCCTGAGTATTGGACCCAAATTACTTTCATTAATTACGCTTGCTTGTACGCGTGGATTTCAGATAAGGGTTTATGGGCCTTGCTTCTCCGAGGGCTTCCCCACCCTCCTGTGGTCCAACGGCCCACGGTGTGCTTCTCGCAAACCGCAACTTCCCTTTCCCGTAGGAAGATCACCAGAAGTTTTTACAGTGATGGTGAGATTTTTAACTTTCGGCTTCCTGTGCAAATAGAGGTTTGTGTGGATCAGTGTTTATTTTGGAAACACAATATGTAATTGAGGAAGGAACTCGAGATGTTAGATATGTGACAGCCAGAGCTGCAGCTCCTTTCAGAGCCGAGCGTGAGGCAGGCAGCGTGGGGCGGAGGGAAGCGTGGACTTCGGCTTCTGCGGGACCCGGCTGAGCGCCAGCGCTTCCCGGTGCGGGCACGGACAGACAGACAGACGGACCGCTTGGGCGCAATTTCTCATCCAGATGCTGGGATGACACACAGCGTCCCAGGCTGCTCCAGGAGGTCGGAGTAGAGCACTACAGGATCGGGCTCTGGCCTGCAGTGGGCAGTCTATAATAAAATACAACCATCCTTCTGTTTCCAATTCGGCATTTTTAAAAAATAGTTCTTAAATGAAAGAGCGTCACCACTTCTCAGGCTAATTAAAATTACTTCACCTCTCTTAGCTTGAGATGCTTATTCTGTAAAATAATGCAAAGTTTTTAATTTATCTAAAATTTTTTATTTTTTTTTATTTTTTTTTTATTTTTTTTTTTTTTTTTTTTTTTTTTTTAACATTTGTGTGTGTGTGTGGCCAGCTCAGCCCACCAGGGGGCGGGGCTGGCTGGCATGTGGTGCTGGGGGATTGAACCGCGGTCCCTGATGCCTTGCC